CCCCTCAGCTCTGACCCCTCAGCTCTGACCCCTCAGCCCGGCTCCCCTCAGCTCTGACCCTCAGCTCCGACCCCTCAGCTCTGACCCCTCAGCCCGGGTCCCCGCAGCCCGGCTCCCCTCAGCTCCGACCCCTCAGCTCTGACCCTCAGCTCCGACCCCTCAGCTCCGACCCCCTCAGCTCCGACCCCTCAGCTCTGACTCTCAGCTCCGACCCCGCAGCTCCGAACCCCTCAGCTCCGACTCCTCAGCTCGGCTCCCCTCAGCTCTGACCCCTCAGCCCGGCTCCCCCGGGCTCCGGTCCCTCAGCAACAACCTCTCAGCCCGGCTCCCCTCAGCTCCGAACCCTCAGCTCCGACTCCTCAGCCCGGCTCCCCTCAGCCCGGTTCCCCTCCGCTTCCCCCGGTTCCCCTCAGCCCCGACCCTTCCTCCGCCCCGCCCCGGCCCAGGGCCCCGCCCGCCCCGGCTCCTCACCCGGGATAGCGGGACAGGAGCGGGGATGGGGCTTGAGACCCGGGAATCTCACCCGGGATAGCGGGACAGGAGCGGGGATGGGGCTGGGAAGGGACTGGAGAACCGGGAACCTTACCCGGGATAGCGGGACCGGAGCGGGGATGGGGCTGGGAAGGGACTGGAGAACCGGGAACCTTACCCGGGATAGCGGGACCGGAGCGGGGATGGGGCTGGGAAGGGGCTGAAGAACCGGGAATCTCACCCGGGATAGCGGGACCGGAGCGGGGATGGGGCTGGGAAGGGGCTGAAGAACCGGGAATCTCACCCGGGATAGCGGGACCGGAGCTGGGAATGGGCTGGGAAGGGGCTGAAGAACCGGGAATATCACCCGGGATAGAGGGACAGGAGCGGGGATAGGGCTGGGAAGGGGCTGAAGAACCGGGAATATCACCCGGGATAGCGGGACCGGAGCGAGGATGGGGCTGGGAAGGGGCTGAAGAACCGGGAATCTCACCCGGGATAGCGGGACCGGAGCTGGGAATGGGCTGGGAATGGGGCTGGAGAACCGGGAATCTCACACGGGATAGCCGGGAAGACGCTGGGAATAGGGCTGGAGCACCGGAAATATCACCCGGGATAGCGGGACAGGAGCGGGGATGGGGCTGGGAATGGGGCTGGAGAACCGGGAATCTCACCCGGGATAGCGGGACCGGAGCGGGGATGGGGCTGGGAATGGGCTGGAGCACCGGGAACCTCACACGGGATAGCCGGGAAGGAGATTCCGAGCTGGGAAGGGTCTGGAGCCTCAGGAGGGGCTGAGGGAGCTGGAAAGGGGCTCAGCCTGGAACAAAGGACAGCCGGGGGGATCGGGCTCTGCTCCCCACTTTCGATCAGAATCTCCTCAGTTTGGGATAAAAGCACCGATGTTGCCCTGGAAG